TTTTAAAACCAGAACTTCAAAATCCCCCAACCAGACCATAGGAAAAAAGAAACAAAATTTGCTATGAAAAAAAAAAATCTTGTTAATTTTTTTCTTTTGTTGGTGTTGTTGCTGGTTTGTCTTATTTTTTGCTTTTAACTTTTATTTATTTTTAATGTATATGGGTATTTTACTTGTATGTATGTCTGTGTACATGTTGTGTTTGATACCCACAGAGACCAGACATTTCAGACAGTTGTGAGCTTGCTATAGAATTAATATATCTTTGAAGGGCAGTGAGAACACACTCCCCACACTCAGATATTAGGATAAAGGCTCTTTAATAATAGCTCACAGCTGATTCTGACTAATGCACAAATGGCTCTATCCAGCCTTGAACAGAAAATTTCACCAGCTTATATAGTCCTTAAGCTCATACACTTACATAGTCATCCACAGGTTACACTTTCATAATTTAAACTGAGACAAGAAACTGTAAAACTGGTCACTCAGGCAGAATTCTCTCTCTCTCTCTCTCTCTCTCTCTCTCTCTCTCTCTCTCTCTCTCTCCTGTTTTGCTTTGTTGAGACACAGTTTCTCTGTGTATCCCTGGTGGTCCTGGAACTCTCTCTGTAGACCAGGCAGGCCTCGAACACAGAGATCTCTCTGCCTCTATATCCCAAGAGCCGAGATTAAAGACATTTGCCAAAATATCATGTTCTTTTGGAATAACCTGCTTCTCCTGATAAGACAGTGGTGGAATTGATGGGAGACCAAGACTTAATGGTGGTTGTGACCCTGTGCCATTCCCCTTAGAGTCCATTGATGTGAGGATGGGACTCAGGACAAGTTGTAAGTCTGGGTTGTCTCCTTTTGTTATGGGAATGGAGTCTAACTTAACGTCAGTCAGTGAACAAACACTATCAGAAACATTTATTCAGCAACCCTAAGCTTCAGTTATTCTATACAAATGTCCTTTTTGCAGTTCCTAACGAGTGTGATAAGTGTACTACTTAGCTTCCAGTCATGCTTCAACTGCAAGCTTCTGGTCCCTGGGTGAAACAAGACAGTGTAGAAACTGGAACATTCCATATGGTTAAGCCAATCTCAGTAAGATCTATAGGTATGTTCTCAGAGTAATAGCTCACCAGTCCTCAGCTGCAGGATGAGGCATTTGGTGTAATCTATGATGCTGAAAGATAAAATTAAAAGCCCCCCCACCCAGCAGCTACGGGACTGCTGGTTACTGTGAAGAGCATCCATGTGTGGCCAACAAAACAGCACTATATGGGCATGTTCTTCATTTCTTGCCAGATATGTTGTATGCTAACAGCTTACAGGCAGAATTTAGGCTTCTGAGACTTGAACTGTTCATTGATGTTAGGTTTATGAGGAAGCTTGATTAGCCAGTGGGAATGCCTGCTGCTGCCTCAACATGTTCCCCTGGGTAATAGCTACCTTCTAACTTACCTACTTGCTGTCTGTCAGTTTGCAGTATTCCACATAAGCAAAATGCTTAGAGAATGGTTCTCAATCTACAAAAATATACCAGTCTTCATATTTTCTGTTTAAAATGAACTCCAAGGATGGTTCACCACTGAGATTTTAGCCTGAAGAACCAGAGTAGTCAATGAACAATTGCCTTCTTATCCATGGCTTAGATCTCTGTTGCAGTATGCAATATATGACAGATTCAAGAGCTATAAAGATCACACACTGATTCTGAGCACAGGTCTGTAATCTGCAGAGCATGCTGCTCCATTGGGGTGTCATGATGCTGTCTGCTGGGGTTCAGAGAAGGCTTGAAAGAAGTGTTTTTTGTTTTTTTTTTTTTTTGAGGTAGAGTATGTAGCCCTGGTCAAAACGAAAGTTACAATGTGTAGACCAGGCCAGGCTTGAATTTGCAGAAATCCACCTGCTCTGCCTCCAGAATGCTAGGATAAAAGGGGTGGTTCACCACACTCAACCCAAGAACCTTTTGATCTCTGTATAACTCTTCCTTTCTCAAACCTAAGTATAGGCTATTTATTCTTCACAGACTCATACAGAATTCATGGTCTGAGAAACAATATTCGGATCTGCATGCCAGCCTGTATTTGTTCCCTCCACTCCTACCTGGTCTCCAAAGGATATGTGTGAGCATGCAGGAGGACAAGACACGCACTGTACAAGTATGTCAGGTAGGTTAGTACACGAGTGGGTGAGTGTGAGCGCATAAGTGTTCAAGGGTGTAAGAGTACAGAAACGTTTCTGTAACTGTGTGCATGTGACTGCACAGCTGTAAAGGAGTGTGTTGTCTGAGGGAGCACAGGGTTCCAAGCGTGCAGCAGTGCATGAGAGTACAGGAGTATATGACTGGGAGGTTAGAATTTTAGGAGAAGCAGTCATATTTGCAAAAAGAAATTAAAAAGGTGAATTAGAAAGAAAAGCTGTCCACAGCAGGAACTCTGTATATCTTCACACTGGACTATATACTGTGAGGCATGGATTTGTATTTATTGAAACACTTAATCCTCAGAACAAGCCATTTTTCAGATAAGGAAAGCCAGACCTCAGTGAGGATAAGAAATTTACAACAGAGAAATGCCACAGTGTGAGGCCAGGTTGGAATGGTTAGGCGAGTCCTCTGTCAGGTCACAGATATATATATATGCTTTGGTTTGGGGAGCCAAGCCCTTTGCTTCAGATAGGAGCCAGCATCCTTGCATTGCGACTTTAGGAACATGATTAGATAATCATAATCTACCTCAGATTTTCTCATGGCTACATTAAACAACAACAACAACAAAAACAAAAAGCAGCACAAGGAGGGTAGGATGCTACTGAGTGTCTGATGGTCTGTAGCTGACACAACCTACTGACTACGTAGCATCCTCTGTACTGCATAGGACTGTCAGGCTCCACAGGGTAGCACAGCACTGCTCAGCTTCCACGAGTCTCTAGTCCAAGGCTATAGAATGTTCTCCTTTCTGTTCAGATTTAAACCACCTTCACACCAACAGATACCATTCTCTCTCCTTTCTGAACAATCACCGCAAGGAGATAGTTTGTCATACACACCTTTCAAGGCTGGCATTTATTTCTTAAGGGTCTGTCAGTACCACTGCAATCAAGCAGATTGTATTTTCAAAAGTTGGTTCCTTTTTTTTTCTCCCCCAACAAATATTTTTGGTTTTGTTCCCCAACAAATAACACACTACTAAATCTCAAAATGTACCTATTATATTGGACATGAGCTGAATGACTGAGTCTTTTTGGGTATAAGAAGATTCTCCAAAAAGGTGACTCAGTGTCTTCTAAATTCCTTCCTAACCCTGAGATTTGATTTGAAACTTCTTCAGAAGTATATTTAAAATACATGTGTACTACAGTCAGCCTCACTTCAGTAGAAAAGTCTGTTATGTCTTTGTTAAGCAGAAATCTCACAACATATTACACACACGTATATACTTTTCTGTTTTCTTCTAAGGACTTATTTCTATAGAGGGAGACTTATTTCGTATTAAAGCAGTTTGTCTAACCTGACCCTATTCTCCCATCAGGCATGTTAATCGCCTACTTGTTTCATGGATAACCTTTTAAAGATAACTAGGGGAAAACAAGCGTTTTGGGTGGAAACAGACGCTCCCGCAGTGTAATCCCAAGCCCGAAACCTCCCAGACTCTAGAAATCTCCCTAAGATTCTTGGATATGGGAGCAGCCTTCAAATCTCACAGCATAGATAAGAAGGGGCGCCATGCTTTACAGGATGGGCACAGTCAGGAAACAACAGCCCTTGTAACAACCATTGATCAGAACTGATATTCTGTGCACAGTCCTCCCTGGAGGTGCTGACAGAGTAAAGCAGGGGCTGTTAGCTACCAGGAGGACCAAGCTAGCTGATTTCCCATATTCAAGCTTAACAATAGTGACAACAGGTGTGTGTCTTTCCATTTTAATATACTTTGGTTATAATAGAAACATGTTCTTGGAAAGAATTTAGGACTTTGATTTGGAAATAAAGAGCCTTAGGTGACTGTACTTTCACTCTGTATTTAATATATCTGACACTCTAGTATAAACACGTTAAGATAAAGATACTAAAAGAAACAGAGAAACCGCCATGGAAATGTTAAACTTTTTATCACTTATCAGGAGAAATAAATGAAACCTAAATGATTATTGTTAGAACTTTGGTGAAAGTTTCTCTCTTCAGTATTTAAGAAAATAAATTTTTCAATGTGGGTTAATTATTTAAGCTGAAGCTCTTAGAGTTAAAAGCATTTTAAGTTACAACACAATACAGAACTAAATGTACATTTAAATAGAAATGGGAATTTTTTTTGTTCCTTTTTTCCCACCAAAGTAGCTGAAAGTTTTTTTCTTCTCTTACTTGTTTATGCAAATGAAGTCAGACATCTAAGGAGCAATAAACAGCAGAATTACAGTTAAGGACTAACATGAGTGGCTTTCATTACTGTCTAGTTAAAACTGCATTTCCCATAGATGCACTTCCCTAGCTAGTATGTCAGCTGCTGGAGGCTGGCACTTCTCAGTTTTGGGCCATAAGAGCTTCCTGCCTTGTCTCTAGAGCTCCCTTGCCTGATACAGGGATGAGAATATGAGTGGCAGCAACCCTGTGCTTTAGAAGTTGGACAAAGTGCCCATCTGGCCTCACTCCTCTGTGGTCCTTGGCTCCTCTTAGAACCTTGCTGAAGGACAGTGTTCTTACACCAATTCCACTGGGTACTAAAGCCTAGATTATAACTAGAGAGATTCACACCTACTGCTGACATTACAGGTGAATGATTTCTTGGAGCAAAAATCCCATTTACACAATGCTGAGGGAGCACATGGAATTTCAGAACCAACACTTGTCTTTATGTGTAGCCTGCTGTCTTTATGTTTGCTATGACCACTCCTTAGCCTCACTGCCACGCAGTCTGTAATCTACATGCATGCCTTACATTCATTTATGTTAGAGAAAGAAAAGGCAAAGAACAGCAACCAAACAAAGTCAAGAACAATCACAGACGAAACGATTCGCCATTAATGCTTTATTCTTTCATCTCTGTCCTGTTCAAAACTGGTGAACACACAACTCTGGCTCACTAAGGAAGTGGCATACAGATGAGTGACTAGGATAGACATGTCAGTCACATACTCTTCTTCAGGACTCCTCCGATGAGCACTCACACGAGTCTGCAAGACTATAAGCCTGGATAGTGGTGCCCATCATCTGCACAGGGTAAAAAGACTCCACACTGGTGCAACCTTACAGAAATCTTCAGGATGCCTAACAAAATTATAGTCTGATTATTCATTTTCTAGATTTGGGGGATGAAAATAGAAAAGAATATAAACAAAGCATGCTTTTGAAATTTCTTGGGTCAGTTAGTAGAAAAATAGGTGTTTTGGGGAGAAGGTTTTTTTTTGTTTTTTGTTTTTTGTTTTTTTTTGTTTTTTGTTTTTTGTTTTTTACATAGAGAACTGTGAAGTGGAATTCCTGATTCTGTTTTCCCTTCATCTTCATCAGTCTTTAAGGGAGTGGTAGGCTTTCGCAGTCCGGCTGTTGACAAAGTCTGTCTTCTTAAACTGAGCCTTTGGAAGAAGCAGACAAATATATGAAATATAAAAATTCTCATATAAGAAAATGCCTCATCCACTCATCAACTGAAGGATATTTAAGTTGGTTCCATTTTCTGGCTGTTGTGACTAGAACAGCCATGAACATGGCAGAGCACGTGTCTGTGTCACACAATGTCCTGAGGATATGTCAAGGAGTCATACGCTTGATTTATTTTTCACTCTCTGAGGATTTTACACCCTGATTTCCAGAATGGCTGCAACAGTGTGCAATTTCAACACTAAATGAGGGTGCTTCTTTCCCCATAATCCTTCCCAGCATCTTTACTCTTGATCTGATGGGGGTAAGAGGAAATCTCAAAGGAGTTCCGATTTCCATTTCTCTAATTGCTAATGCTGTTGAAATACTTTCTTGAAAGAACCTAAATGCCCTTCAGTTGATGACTGGATAATAAAAATGCAGTATATGTACACATTAAATTCTATTCAGCTGTAAAGAAAAATGAAGGCATAAAAATTTCAGGTACACATATGAAACTAAAATATATTTTACTAAGTGAGGTCATCCATACTCAGAAAAACAAGTCATATGTTCTCTCATATTTTGTGGCTCCTAGCTCTTAATCTTCATATGGAAATGTATAGACTGGAGTATCTGCAGAAGCAGGAAAGAAAAAAGGGGATCAAGGTGGGGCCTGAGTGAAGCAGAGGTTGGGGTGGGGGCCAATAAGAGAAAGGTGGAGTCTAGTGGAATGAGGGAAAGTTCTTGAATGACAAGACATAGGTGACATGAAGGTGGAAATGGAAAAGATGGGGGCATTTTAATTGGAGATATGGAGGGCAATACAGACAAAAAAGGAAGGAGGAAGGATAAGTACTACTAAGGATGTTTGAAAAGGCATAGCAAATTATTTTATGTTTACCTAAGATTACATATATGTGTATACATGGAGATAGAGCTTAATGAAGTTACACCAGTAGGGGTGATAATGTTCACCCAAAAAGCCATGAATTATGACTATCTAACAAACTTCTGGTACCACACATGAGGAACCCTCTTCTTTGTTGGTCAAGGGAGACCATGAGACTCCCAAAGCAACATAAGACATTACTATTTCTTGGGCTGCCTCCCAGAACTTGAAGGTAAATCCCTATTGATGAAGACACCACATACTGCACACAGGACTTGGAGGAATCGAGCTGGAACTGACCTGGAAGCCTCCTTCCTAAGGAGTGGCTCTCACATATCAGGAGTTGCCAAGGGAGAGGCTCACTCAGTAGTAGTTGTACCCAGCTATAAAGCCTGTGGACCACAACAAGGACTGGACTGGCAAGACATGCACAATGCTGTAATAGTGACACTTCTGTCTGGGAGATGATTAATAACTGTCTAGTTGGATTTAAGGCTTGCTCAACAGTAGGGAAATCATGTTTGGTATTGTAAACCCTGGAGGGGTCATATCCCCAAGAGGAAAATCTACTACTGCCAGATCCTAAATCAATATAATTTCTAATTGTATTCTAAATACTTTTCCTTATAGCCACAAATAAGTATAGCTCTCATGCATCATCAAAAAACTTCCTTTTGCAACATACAGAAACTTTTATAGATCTCTACAACTGATCAAAATGCAGAGAACATGGGACTGTGGAGTGCCTAGCTACAAGTGGTGCATCTGCAATGTAATCCTATACCTAAGGCTCAGAGAAAATCATGGAAGAAAGGATAGAAAGATCTTATGAGCCAGAGGTCTATGACATCTGTTGCTAGATTGTATTATGTCCCCTAGATATGCCAGGGGAAATGGATCCATGAACTTTCAATAATATGATCATTTGAACAAGACCAGCAAAATGGCACTACCAGTTGAAATACCAATGTGGACAAGGGAATGCACATTACCCTTCTCCTAGATGAAGAGCCTCCAGGGATAAAGGGCCACTGACAGAGGGAGAACCAATTGCTCCCAGGGATGAACTCCTATACAGGTGTCAAATGTGGGCACAAGCAAAGCTAAGTAGATTTAGTAGGTTCCATATACATGTGTGCATGCACACACACATATGTATGTGTATTTATGCATATATGTATATACATATAACAATAACACTTTAAGAAGAGAGCCTAAATTTGGGATAGAAGAACCAGAGGGGTAGGGAGGAGTAGGAGTGTCACAGATACAATGCTCATGTATGAAATTCTCAAAAAAAAAAAAAACCCAAAACAACAAAACTATTCAAAAAACAAAGAAGGAGGAAGAAGAGGATGAGGAGAAAGAAGAAGAAAAGAAGAAGAGGATGATGAGGAAGAGAAGGAAGAGAGAGGAGCTATTTGGTGATTTCTCATGAGGGCCAGGTCAAGTGTCAGGTTTTAGCTGGTCAGTGTTCTTACCTTCTTATAGGCATTATGGAGCTCTGTATGTGCCCACAGCGAGTACAGGAGGACAGACGCAGCTTTGCTGGCTTTGTTGGGGGCATAGCTGAAAAGACAGACATGTTTCTGGGTCACTGAGAATGTGCAGCTTTGGCCATTCCCTTCATGTTCCTCAAATCTTCACTCACTCTGGCTTCAACAGTTGCCACTTGTCACACAAAGAGGATTTGAAGGCCAGAGTTCACTTTTCAAGAAGGTTGGGTTTTTTTTGTTTGTTTGTTTTTAAAATAAATCATAAAGGTAGTGCTAATAAATAAATGATTTACAAAGGAAAAATCCATGATATTTATATACATTTAAAGCCTTTACTTATCGACCCTCTACATTTCTATAGTTATAATGTATACTTACAGATTACAACACAGAAAAGCAACTGAAAATGTGCATGCCTTTGAGACTAAAGGTCCTATCAATGCAGGAGGAAAACAAGTATTTCAAGTTAACAGACACACTCTTGTGTAATACTTGTTAAAACAGTTTTTAAATCATTTGTGTCTTTAGCATAGGGCTGACAGAAGCTTACTTGGTCATAAATCTAATTCCCTACCACATTTAACAGTGGCACTGTTTTTTTTTTTATGTTTCTTTTCTAAATGTGTCTTAAACTTCCCATGTCTAGCTAGAGATCAGTTTCTTTGAGTATTTCTTTACTTTCTATTACCTACTAAACCATGGCTGAACTTTCTTTTTCAAAGGTTGTGGTTTATTTCCTGTGGCACGAAAGTCTACTGACATACAATCAAGACCACAGAAAGCAAAACTACAATGAATAAAAATGTTGGGCTCCTTTCTCAGCTTCTTCTCTTCCAGAATGGAAGCTCTGTAGGAAGGGAGTCAACTTAGCATCTTACAGTGTTTTAACACCTAGGGACAGAGTCATTGGAGTAAGCAAATTCTCTTACATTACAGCTCTCTTATATTCAAAGTTCTATAAAGTTCTTTAATGTCAAGTTTTGATATCTGTAACATTTAACTGTATATTAGTTGGTTGGCACTTGAGTTTTTTTCTTTTCTTTCTTTCTTTCTTTCTTTCTTTCTTTCTTTCTTTCTTTTTTTTTTTTTGGTTTGTTTTTTCGAGACAGGGTTTCTCTGTGTAGCCCTGGCTGTCCTGGAACTCACTCTGTAGACCAGGCTAGCCTCGAACTCTAGAACTCAGAAATCCACCTGCCTCTGCCTCCCAAGTGCTGGGATTAAAGGCGTGTGCCACCACCGCCTGGTGTGTTTTTTTTTTTCTTTTTAAAGATTTAATGTGAGAGAATCCACACAGTACACTGTACTATTCTTTTATTTTGTTTGGTTTTTCTTTTGTTTTGTTTTTTGCTTTTGTATATTTGCTACTCTGTCACTAAATTTTATTAACATGTAAGTTATTAGGCCCTAAACTAAAGACCAACTGTAAAATTGGACAGTGTTTTATTTTCCTTTACAATTTAATACTTTTTGATGACTGCATATGGGGTAAGGCTGCTTGGTAGTTCATCAAGGTCACAGAGATGGAGTTTTCCTGACAGTGTGTAGTCTTTAGTAGTGAGTGGAATGACTTGTATGATGTCACTGTCAAACCAGCAAGACTGCATCATGCACCCATCATTTTCAGGATTGTTGGTAACTTGGGCATACTTTCGCCAAATAACCTTGCCTCCTTGTGTCACAAGGCCCAACTCACTCACACTCACTTCAATAACTGTACCTTTGGTGATCACACCCAAGGGGATATACATAATGGGGATCATAGATTCTTTTTCACACGGAGTATAGGCAGGCAAAAAGTAGCTTTCAGCTCAGGGTGTGTGACATAGGCTTTTTTGAAACGTAGACCCATCGGCCTAATGAACCTTTCATAGTTAGGTGGTTTTCTTGTAAAACCATCACCAACAAAGCAGACTGTAGTAACCATTCTCTTCCATGCCTTCTGTTTTCTTTTTCCTGTTCGAATAATGCCGGGAGCCAAACCCATAAAATTACCTGCTGTTCTGCAAAGCCTAGTCAGTACAAGGTTAAGAAAGGACTTTCATTGTCTCAGATCCCAGGAACTCAAAAACCATCTGGCATTTCCTGGGATCCTGTTATGACAATGGGATGGTCTTAGACAATAAAGATTTGGTAGTGGGATAGCCTTAAGCAATGACCCTTGCCGAAACTTCCTGTTTTGTTGAGTCTTTATAACCTGAAATAACCATCTGAAATTAAAGTTAGAGAGCTTGATCAGAACTCTAGACTTGCTCTCCTCCTTTGTGTCTCTTGTCCCTTCATTCTTTTGCCTCCTTCCCTAGGGTCTCATCGAATCCTCTGCAGGCTGAGGGCAGAACAACTTTCAATACTTCTGTTTCTCCTTGGGCACGAACTTTGGGTAGAGGGACCTCCCACTTTCCTGCCTTTTGTTTTCGTTTCTGCTTAATCATGTTGGAAAGTACTTTTGCTCTGGACTGCCCCTCTCTGTCCAGCAGATAGGCAGGGACTGCTCCCTGTGGAATCTTCTCATCATCCTTCAGCTTGGTGTTTCTCTTTTCATGCATCTTAATAGTCTTTTTCATTTGTATTTTCTCTGCATGGCGCTGTCTATGGTAGAGCTTAGCCTTCAGGCCAATCTTTTTTTTGAACGTTCATGGGCCTCCTGACCTTTCTTTCTCTTTTTCTCATGGTAGTCCAAACAATATTCATATAATTTGTGGTGCAATTCAATATATTTATTTTGTGGCATGATGACAGCCGAGGAGAAGCCTTCTGTGACCTCCCAGGTTCCAAAAACCTCATAATTTCTGGGTGTCACTGGCCCACGAGTCTGGTTTGATTCTTGTTTGGTTTTTCAAGACCGGGTTCTCTGTATAGCCCTGGCTGTCCTAGAACACTCTCTGTACACCAGGCTGGCCTCAGAACTCAAGAGAACCACTTGCCTCTGCCTCCTGAGTGCTGGGATTAAAGGCATGCAGCACCACCTCCCTGGTAGCTTATCATTCTTAAATCACAATCATTGCTCTGGGAAGCTAATTCATCACATCAGGAACTACTAGAATTTACAAGTAAAGAAACCATGGAGTCTGACTTTTAGAAGAGAATGGATGGCTAGCTTGGCTGACTCAGTGATTTCCTTGTCAATCACCAAGAACTAGAGGAGATGCAGTCCTCCTGTCCTAAAGGGACAGTCCTCCTGCAGTCGGTCTGTGATACTGCTTGTGGTTATGTTGGCCTTAGGACTCAGGAAAAAGTAACTGCAGCTAGAGTATTCATACGGTACGGATGGCAGGCAAATAGAAACAGTGATGGGCAGGTACGAAGAGACTTACCCTTCCCCTATGCTGATGGTCATAATTTTCTGCAGACCTCCAGTGTTCAGAAGGTCTCGTGCATTCTGATAACTATTTTGCATCAAATTGTTCAATGTATAGCAGGCAGAGGATGTAGTTTCAATGAGAAGGTCAGTACTTGGGACTGTGTCAGGAATTATAGAAACCAAATCTGGTAGAGTTTCTTTAGCTACAAATTGAAAGAAAAACAATGCTCGATTAGCAAGATTTTTCCTTTGGTAGAATGTGCATGTGTGTGTGTTTGTGTGTGTGTGTGTGTGTTACATGCACATGTAAGTCAAAGCAGGCTGTCACCCGTCTTTCTTTTTTTGGGGGGAAGGGGATTTCGAGACAGGGTTTCTCTGTATAGCCCTGGCTGTCCTGGAACTCACTCTGTAGACCAGGCTGGCCTTGAACTCAGAAATCCACCTGCCTCTGCATCCCAAGTGCTGGGATTAAAGGCATGCACCACCACTGCCCAGCAGTCATCTGTCTTTTTTATTCCCTTTCCACTTACTGTTTTGAGACAGGATCTCTAACTGAACCAGAAGCTTGGTTTCTTTTGGGTATGCTGGCTGGCCAGTAAGCTTTTGAGATCTGCCTATCCCACCGCCAAGTGCTGGGGTCACCGGTCAATGGTTGACAAATGCATGGAAAGATGATGTGTCTCTATAATCAAATCTGAAGATCTTTCCAAAGAGGGTGTCCTGTTCTCAGTGTGCTGAAAACCTTTCCACAGAGTTAAGGTGACATAAATATCAAGAATTTAAAAATTTCATATTCTTCAACTGATTCTATCAGAGCAGACATCACCTTAAAAGTAGAAAAAAACTTCTACAAAGATACTTCAGATAGAATTATACATATAACTAAAAATATCATAAAAGCATAGCTATCCTATAGGCATATCTTTAATTAACTAAAATAAACTTGAAAAAAAAATCAAGCTTCTGGTTCAGTTCAAAAAAGGAGGACTTAACCACTTTTCCTTTAATCCACAGCAGATTCTTTAGATTCCTGGATCTTCAGGGCACATGAGCTATTTCCCCATCTCTGACGAATTTCTCTAGTATATAATATTGGAAATAACACTCTCCTTTCCACAGGTTGTTCTGAGTGAGTTCAGGAGTTAATGCACACTACTTTGGCTACACATACTAAGCTCTCAAGAGATGTAAGTCATCACCAGAAGGCTAAACCACAGACTGACGACCTTGAGGACATGAGGGTTCCTTTTACAACTTATGTGGATAACATGGAAATAATTCTGAGCCAGATAACAGGAGCTGCTCACTGAACTGCAGCACCTCCTCATCACCACACTGGCAGACCCTTTCCATAGATCAACGCTGAGGAGCAGCTGCAGTAAAGGAGGCTTTTGTCACCTTTACTTGTCTTAGAACAATAAATATCCATAAAATAAATTCTATAATATACTATGGGAAGATGTCTATCTGAACCTGTAGCCACAATATATTCATTCCTCCTTCCCCATCTCAAAAACTAATAAACAAATAAATGAAAACCTACCTAGTAGAAATCTCATTAAAAACACAACATGTATTAAAATGGATTTTTACTTATTCTTGGCTACTAAAACTCAGAATCAAGATAGGTCTTATTGTTTAAATTACATATTGAGGATAAAGAAAATTTGCAATTTGAAAACAACATGTGTGTTGCTGACAAACATATAGATGAGACACACCCATTGAATGGAGCGGCTGATGGGTGAGAGGGGTCATGTGGATTGCCCATCTAGCTAATTATTAGTGTGGTCTGTGATTTCTCTTCTGCAAGGAATCAAAGCAAATTAACAAAAAGGCTGGTTATTAGGACAGTCCAATGTCAGTGAATGAGGATGCCTGCCCCAGCATGTAGGGTAGCAAAGCCAGGCTACTTATCACCTGCTTTCCTGCACCTACGGCATGCAGACCTCAACTTACCAATTTCATTCTGCAGAGAAAGATTCCGTGACAAATTCCTCAGCAGGGAGACAGCAGTCTTTTTCACACTGGGATCACCCATGTGCAGCATCTTCCGGGTGTGCTGAAGACCATTTTCCTTCTGGACAACCATGCGAGCTACTGACGTGGGTATCTGTTGTGAGACACATCTTGTAAATGCTATCACATTTGCTATCAGAGAAGTTCTCTGTAGGTTCCAAAGGTTGAGGGAGGATAAAAGCTAGAACTGTAATGAAAGCAGTTTACAGATATTTTCTTTAAAATATTTTTGATTTTCAATATAGTTAATAAATAAAAAAATATTTTCCCAGTATTTTTAAACAATTAAAAATTGGTTACTTTTTAATATTTTGCATCTGTGTACATGTAAAATAGGTCTGATATTTGTGCTTCACATAAATTTTTTTTTTGGTTTTTGGTTTTTTTGAGACAGGGTTTCTCTGTGTAGCCCTGGCTGTCCTGGAACTCACTCTGTAGACCAGGCTGGCCTCGAACTCAGAAATCCTCCTGCCTCTGCCTCCCAAGTGCTGGGATTAAAGACGTGCACCACCACTGCCGGGCTTCACATAAAATTTTTAATGTTTGTGTGAGTGCGCATATGTGGATATGTGTGAATGCTCCTGTAAATGCTTGTGGAAGACAAAGGAGGATATCAGGTATCTTCTATCATCTTCTACTTTATTCCCTTGAGCCAGGGTTTCAGTGAACCTGAATGTTGGTGTTTCTGCCAGGCTGACCAAAAGCTCTTGGGATCCACATGTTTCCATTACCTCAAGGTGGCCATGTTGGCTTTTTATGTGTGTGAAGGGCAGTCAAATTAAAATTCTTATGCTTGCAAGTAAGTATATGTGACCACTGAACATCTCCCAAGATTTGAGTAATATAAACTTAATTGGACAGTATGTTTTTTTATCATCTTGAACTATTCAGCTAATATAAGCTCTTCTTTGGGGTCTTGGTAGAATTTGGCCACACAGACACTGGTCACTTAGCTCTACAATGAACCCGAGTATTTGCTTTCCTGGATTGCCAACTGACGTGAGAAAACATAAGCTCATTTCTTACCAATTTGCTTCATTTACTGGCTGATGGTTAGTTATTGTTCCTGTTACTTCTAGTTCAAGTTTTGGTGGTTAACATATTTCAACAAACTTATTTATTTCTAAATTACAGATCCAATTCATTATATAAAGAGAATTGGGATTGCTTCTACTAATCTTTGAGAATTTCATTCAATGTATTTTGGTCATATTTATCCTTCCCTCCTAACTCCTTCCTGATCCACCCTCATATCCTCCCTACCCAGCCAACTTTTCTTCTTTAAAAAATCCTTGATATACCTGCCTTTCTAGTATACCCACCAATGTATTTTAAACTTGCCTTGATTTATGACTTTTTTTTTGTTCTGTAAAACTATAAAAACTTCATGAAACTACTTTCACATTGCAGTATGGAATCTGGAATAATTTAAACCTGTATTCCCTGACCATAGTCATCATAATGGCTCCAGAATAAACTATCTTAATCACCTTTTAAAAGAAAAAAAGAAAGAAAGAAACTTGTCAAGTGCAATTGTGCTGTTCGATTACTATTAGATACGGGCTTGCCCTGGAGTATGGTTGACTTATCAGGGATCATAGCACAAAGAAGCTTGACTTCTTTTCCTCGGTGGCTGTCAATACCAATAGCTCCTCAGTTAAGAGGTGGGACTCTATGTGTGTTTTCCCCTACCCCTACCACTGGGATTTGTCTGGCTTGAGTTTGTGTACATCTTATGCATGTCCTCCCACTCCCTGTGAGTTCATATGGATATGCAGGTAGATAGATATTAGGCTTTTGAAAAAAGATAATCCTCATTGCTAGTTGGATTATTCTTTTCTTACCATGTAACTTGGTTTCACTGAACTTGCTATGTAAACCAGGCTGCCCTTGAATTTATTTAGATTATATCGGTCTCTGCATCTTGAGCACTGGGATTAAAGTATGTGCCACTATACTGGCATGGATTTCCGTAATCTGTGTATCTGAGACTACTGCTGGCCCAGGTCTAGGAATAATCTTACTGAGGATCTAAATATTGATCTGGCCATTTTTAGCATTAAGACATCTCAGAACTGTAGCCTTAGCTTGTGTCTGTGACTTTATACTAAACTTCTGTTTGAAGCTAATATGAGGCTACGTTGACAAAACTCCTGCAATTCTTTTTTTTTTTTTTTTTTTTTTTTTTTT